TTCTTTCTTTCACTCGCTTTTCCACAACCTAAAAACAGTATTCATTTGATGTGTAAACCCCCCAAAGAGTGTCATTGGTTGGTGATTTGCTTGGAATACCATCAATTTAACAAGGATCTAGCTTGATTTGGCAGGAGGGATTTGGTTTTTCATTTAGGTTGCTCTGACCTTACGGGAAAATATATATGGAGTTACAGTTTTAAGGCAATGGAAATTCGTTTTGGCTTATCTATTTGCTTTTTAGATTATTTTTTAGTTGACAGCTTGAATGCCCCTTTGTTGCCTCTGCTTATACTGCGCCCTTGAAGTTACAATCTTGGATCTTCTGCTACATGAGTTGTTTATTTAGAAGTTTTAAAGATTGTGTTCTAACACTGTATGCACGTATTTTTAAGGTTCTTGGATTTGGAGAGTACATTGAGGATGTATATGCTGCATACGAGCACCACAAGACAGAGACCTTGGTAATTTTCATTTCCATGATCACTTTGACTTCATATTAAAAGTTGTCACTGACTGTATATGCTGATGGGACTTTTCAAATGCTGTCCAGCATGACTCTTTAAAAGGTGGAAAATGGAGCAATGGAGCTGAGATGACTGAAGAAGAAGCAGCAGCTGAGCAGCAGAGAATGTTTGCCGAAGCACGTGCAAGAATGAATGGTAGTGCTGCTGCGCCCAAGCAACCAGATGTTGACCAAACAATTGAGAGCTAACCTTTAGGACCTTTTTCAGTTTGCTTCAACCATAGGCAAGCATCCTTGACTGTTGCAAATTGTGCTTCTAATCTCTGTTATTATCTGTACAAAAAATGCCATTGGTGAGTGCCCTGGCCTATGTCTTTTTGATGATATTTTCTCCAAAAATCTTATCTTTTTTCTGTTTCTCTATTCTGGGTTATTTTGCTAGGGTTTCAGCTACAGAATGTCTGGTTCAATTTTAATTAATAAGGAATTGATTTTTTTGCCCTAGCCAAAAAAGAAAAGGGTTTTTTTTTTTTTTTTAATGGGTTTTCTGCCTTTTTGGGATGATGATTAAATTAATTTCATTAAAAAAAAGAAAAAAGAAAAAAGAAAAATCAATTGGCATAGTCTTGCTTTAGGTTTGGATCAAAACGCAATTTGGATTGAGGTAGGAAGGTGCTTTA